TAGGGCGTCCTATATACTAAAATCATCTTGTATATACCCAAAAAGCCATGAAATAAACTCATGTCTTAAATATAACATTAAAACAATGCCTAAAAATAGGACCAAATTGCAAGTGAAAAGCTGCTCATAGCTTCGGGCAGCCATTTGCAATTGACAAGTGTATAATTCCGCCAATTTCCTCTGCACTTTGTAGAGAAATAAAGGCAGAAAAAGAGGTTGTTCTGCCTGATCATGTGAACATCAGCTGGTACCCTAACCCTCTAAACTCTAACTCCTAACCCTAAATCTTAACCGGCTACCACCTTCAACTCCTAGTTCCTGACCCCAACCCTAACCTAACTTCCTAACACTCTAACCCTGAACCCTAACCCTAAGCCGCCTAACCCACCCGGCTGGCCCTAACTCCAATCCCTAACCCCTAACCCTGACTCCTAACTCTTAACCCTAACCCTAACCCAGAGTTACACCCAGCTAACCCTAACCCTAACCTAACCCACCCTAAGTTACCTAACTCCTAACCTAACCCTAACCCTAACCTAACCCTAACCCCAGAGTTACACCCAGCTACTCCCTAACCCCCAGGAGGTTAGCACCTAACCTGACCTAACCCTACCCTGTTACCCCAGCAGTTACCCCTAACCCCAGAGTTACACCATGGCTTGACCCTAACCCTAACCCCAGAGTTACACCTAGCACTCTAACCCCTAACCCTGAGACTAACCCCAGAGTTACACCCGGCACCTAACTCCTAACCCTAACCCCTGTAGCGGCACCCTGAGACCCTAACCCTGAGACCAACCCCCAGAGTTACACCTTAACTCCTAACCCTGAGACCAAGCCCCAGGGTTGCACCAAACACTTAACCCTGACCCTGTCCACCTAACCCTGGAGACTAGCCCCGGAGTTACACCCACCCCTAACCCTAACCCCAGAGTTACACCCAGCACTCTAGCTCTAACCTGGAGACCCAACCTCCAGGTTCATACCAAACACCTAACCCTGACCCTACGACCTAACCCCAGAGTTGCACCCAGCACTAACCCTGACCTACCCCAACCCTGAGCCTAACCCCAGAGTTACACCCAACACCTAACCCTGACTCCTTACCCCCTAACCCTGAGACTAACCCCAGAGTTACACCAAACACCTGGACCCTGAGACCCTTAACCCCTAACCCCCTAACCCCTAACCCTAGACCAGCCAAACACTAACCCAACACTCACCCCAGGGTTAGACCAAACACTATCCCCACTGTATGTTTTCAGCATGACATGTGTGGAAGAAGATGCATGCGCTTTGAGGTGTTCATGAGCCTTTGACTTATTATTCTTGTGTTTTGTGAGGCAGGTCACTAAATTGCTTGTTGGACACCTGTTTCAAGTGGGAGACATGACAGCGAGAGCTACAGAAAGAGAGGTTTACTGATCCAAACGAAATGGAAGGGAAGGGGGCAAGTTTCAGAGTCTCGCCTGGGCAGCCTGTGGACTGTATTGTGGAGGATGTTGACTATAACAACAGAAGCCATCACACCATCACCTACTAAAGATGCCTTGTTGCGGAACAAGTACACCAGCTCCAAGAAGAAAGTTCAACAGAGCTTCTTACTTTGAGATAAAACGGTCCTTTTCAGGACCACCCAAATGAGAACAAAAGAATACTTGAAACGTTTGATGACTGATGAATGAATGAAACCGAATTGACTGGATCGAGTGGGTGGGTGCTAACAATAATACCACTAACCCTGACCCTAACCCCTGACCTCGAATCCCCGACCCCTGACCCTGACCCTAACCCTAACTCCTAACCCTAACCTTTAACCCTAACCCTAACCCTAACCCTTGAGAGGTGTTTGCAGCCAAATGTGCCCGTATTGGCTACATCGAGAGGTGATTTTTTAGACTGGCGCTTCCATCAGGTTCTCTGCAAAGGGACATAACTCCCAGTTTACTACGTTGACATTGGAAACATGATTGTGCGTGAGTGGGAAGACATGGCACCGAGAGAGGTGGCGAGAGAGAGGTTTTACCGATCCAAACGAAATGGTAGGTGTGCATGCTTTCAGTATCGCATCGAAACAGGGACTGCGTTGAGATGTTGGTTTTGCTTTTGGTGAACCGTATCTTCGAGAGAATCGCCGCTGCAGCATCCCGTCACGACTATGAACAAGAAGCCCCCTTACAAAGTGCCGTGCTGGTGAGACAAGTACACCAGCTCCAAGAAGACAGTTCACCAGAGCAGCCTTACTTACGTACATACATACATACATACAACGGTCCTTTTCAGACCACCAAATTTGAAACGAAAGAATACTTTGAAACGTTCATGAATCTCAATGAATGAATGGATGAGTGAGAGCGGAGATGAGAATATTGTGTCTGTGCGAACTGTAAATTCATTGTAATAAGATGGGCAATGGACCCGAACACACACAGTCGGATGTATATTAAAATGGTACTTGCAAACGGTATCAGTATAGGAGAGCACTATCGGTGCAGACAATGGGCAGTGTGGATGCGTCAGTGCATGGGCAAGGTACTGTTTCTCTTCTGGCCACCCTCGGATAAGGCGGCACGACCTGCCTCGGAACGCAGCATTTCTTAATTGGCCCCGTGCCTGGCTCGCTTTGAAAGAGCACAGAAGTTGTCTATGTTGATGCTCCACGAAGGTCGGCGTACGATTAGGGCGCTTTTAGCAACGCTGTTTTGCACATCCCTCGCAGAGATGCCATCAGACAATAACATATCTACATATCAACTGACCACACCCATGGGCTCCGGACGACACGGCGTTTTCCAGCATACCTACCCGCCTGCGCGGCATATGTGGCTTCCAAATAGCGCAGACATGGTCCATGCATGCGCATACATGATCGACGGAGGTCGTACGATTAGGGGCGCAGTACCGCCGTTTTGCACATCCCTGCGGGAATGCCATCAGACAATAACATACTCCAAACAGCCAACCGTGATACACCAGCAATTCGGACGACACGGCGTTTGGTAACTCTACTACTGTCGTAACCCGGGAACTGCGGATTTGCTTTCAAGCCGCGCAGAAAACATCCCCCACGTACAGGCTCGACGGAGTGAGTTTCACGAGTGACGCACGGGCCATACTTGGTACATCGACTACATTCCGCTAACCAACAACATCATATCATCCAAATATCAATCGGATACACGTACATGCTCGGACGATACAGAGATTTTAGTGATGCCACTGCGGCATGAACAGTGCATGAAGCGCCAACGTACACAGCGACAAGCACGCACGAGCGCTTCCCTGGACCGTAGATTCGGATCTTTGCGGGCTGATGCCATAGTTGTCTCAGCACCACTTCACCTGCGTCTCTAAGATAGGATCTCGTATAAGTAGCATTGTATTAGGAGAGGAGAGGAGAGGGCAAAGGCAAGGCTAGGCTAGGCTGCGATCATGGCATTGTAATCGTAAAATGGCTGAAAATTTGAAAGTAAAGCCTGGCAGAATGACTGACTGGACGGGACTGACTGGATATGTGGCCGAACTGTATTTCACTATGCTTTACCTGATTATGTAACCATGCTACACACGCAAACATACCTACACACACGCCCTCAAGAGCCCCCCAGTTACAGAAACTTTCATTTTAGCTCGCTAACTGGCCATGAACTAATAAATACTTCGCTGCCTTTTGTCTTACACTTTGCCTTCATAACTTGGGCGTTTTTCACTTTGTTTTTCAATCTCATGTTTGTCAGCGTTTCCATTCGATGTTAAGGTCACTGAACGTCAGTTCATATATACGTGTTGGGTTTATCCCCGTTTACATAGTTCTTAATCCACATAGGTGGCTCCACCAGCCAACTGAAGCCGGCGAAGTGCCCACGATGAGAGTGGTTTTAACAACTCCTCGCTCCGGCCGAAACCGGATTGAAATCCACGGCAGCGAGCGAGCGATTGTTCCTCTTCAGACGTCCGCGCGTAATACCGCCGATCGCATAGTTCGATCGCTTTGTTGGGAGACGGCATACAAAACTGTTTTCAGAAGCAAATCGTGACTTCAGTGTCTATCAGCATCACATTGCCTTATTTCTGTATATATATTCTGTCACATTGCCTGTATAGATTGCACTATCTTCTGTTGATACGCTTTAAGGAAACATTGTAGTAAATAAGATGTGGAGTGTACACCTTAGTGCAACTGGTACTGGTATTACCTACTAGGCTGGTAGAACCCATAATGGGGTGCCTGGGCTGAACAAGCACAGATGTGCGCATAAACAAATAAGTAGGTACAATGCAGGGAACAATAGCGCCAGATATAGATAAGTGGCATGAAATAACAAAAGTTGAACAGATCGATACTCATGCTGTCGATCGCACTGGAATCGTCTGGTCCAGACTCGCCACCCTATGGCTGGAATATGTGCTGAGTGCGGCGTCAAATTAAACTCACTCACTCACCCTATTCTATTACAGGTACATGCTGGCATGTATTGTGTCGATGAATCACACATACAGGCATGACATTTATTTGCTGGTAGGTGTTATGGTATATGCGGAGCGCCTTTCCAGCATCGTCAAAAACTGAACATATGGTCAGATTTTGCGAGAGCTGACACATTCAGACTGAAAGCCGCCGCCGGTGATATTATATATCAGGCGCGCGGACCTCCTTGAGAAGACAACTGGGCATTACACTGGCTGTTTTACGCTTTAGGGCAGCCGATACAGCTTATTTGGCGGGCATTACGTTGACACAAGTGAGCAGTTACATGACCATTTTTCTAATAAGCACACATCAGTTTCAGGGTGTTTGGCTCTACAACAAAGTGGAAGTTAGGACAAGAAATCACCTCACTGTCATGCCTCGGCAGAAAGGTTCAGACAACCCTAGTCTGTGCAAACTCGGCTAACACAGATAGGACGGGATAGGTTCGGATAAGAGCGTGAACATAAGCACAGCCAATCAGAGCGGCGGATGGAGATGACCGTTGTGGATCTTAGCGGGAAATGGCCGACCGCGGAGAGCAACGGTTTTTCACAGGCGGATTCTTTTCCTGGCCATTTCTTCCCATTTAAGGTAATGTTTTCATGTCGTAGATAACACAGGCCTTTATTGGATGCTCCGTTGCTGTATATAAGATGTTATAGGATCCATTGCTTCAGTGTAGGATACTATTAATGCATAAAATGAGCGCAGGTACATGTGCGTTGGTTCTCGCACCCATGTTAGACTCGCTGTGCCAACTTCCGGACTGGTCGTAAGCTTGACTGATAATTAGTAATGCTATATATATACAGAAACAAACACAGGTACATAGTACATAGATAATAAGGACAGATTCAACTACACAGGGTATTTTCTGAGGGCCTAAGTCAGTTTTACATTATCCATTATTTTATTTATTTCTAGACGCTAGTAGCGCACACAAATTGGGTATAGGTACATAGATAAGAATGATTGAGTTCAACCACATCCAATTGACCATAGGGCTTAAGTCAGTAGGACATTATCCATTACTTCTCTTGTAGATGCTACAGACATACAAGTAGGCATAAGAATTACATAATGCATAGCTGATGACTATGGACTGTATCCGAAAGGCATAGAGGTCTAAGTGCATATTACATCACCCATTATTCCCCATCATTTCTGCAGATGCTACGAGATACACAGGTAGACATGTATATAATAGGTTTATTTTCAGGATGATAGATCCTGGAGGAAATAAAGACTCTCTCTCTACCTCTCTCATGGTGTTGTTTTTGTGTTGCATGTGCCATAGGGCTTATTGCAGGATTGGACTGCATCTTGGTAACATGCTTAGCTATTATGGTTTACTTTCACCATTGAATATGCTACTACCATGTATTGTGTATTGCAATCTGGATTTGGATATAACTTGTAGTGAAAATACATCAGTTGGTGCTGTTATGAAGTTCATAGTTCATAGCAGTTGTGAAAAGAAAGGTATAAAATTCAACTATAAACAATCATTTGGAAGCATTCTACTAAGAAAGCATGTTTCGCTTCATGTTTCAATGTTCGTTTGAAGATAGTTTTCAGATCTGACCTATTACCTATATCAACTCTTGAATAGGACAACTCATGTATACTTCCATTCATTGTACTGAGCCTGTCCTCAATGTTTGTTTACATAGGTGTCATGATGATGTACAAGTAGTAGGGTGGGCCAGTAAACTGAACTAATTGGCACTTTGTCCTGTTTCTTAGGCGTCCTATATACTAAAATCATCTTGTATATGCCAAAAAGCCATGAAATAAACTCATGTCTTAAATATAACATTAAAACAATGCCTAAAATAGGACCAAATTACCCAGAGTGAAAAGCTGCTCATGGCTTCGGGCAGCCATTTGCAATTGACAAAGGAGGTAATTCCGCCAATTTCCTCTGCACTTTGTAGAGAAATAAAGGCAGAAAAGAGAGTTGTCTGCCCTGATCGTGAACATGTTCATGTCGCATATCAGCTGGTACCCTAACCTAACCCTAACCCTAACCCTAACCTAACCTAACGCCCTAACCCTAACCCTAGCCTCCTAACCCTAACCCTAACCCTAACCCTGAAGCCTAACCCTAACCCTAACCCTAACCTAACCCTAACCTAAGCCTAACCCTAACCTAACCTAACCCTAACCCTAACCTAAGCCTAGCCTAACCCTAACCCTAACCCTAAGCCTAACCTAACCCTAACCCTAACCCTAGCCCTAGCCTACCCTAACCCTAACCCTAACCCTAACCCTAACCCCTGGCCTAACCCTAAACCTAACCCCTAACCCCTAACCTAACCCTAGCCTAACCTAGCCCTAACCCCTAACCCCAGAGTTACACCCAGCACCTACCCCTGGCCCAGAGTTACACCTAACCCTGACCCTAACTCCTAACCCCAGAGTTGCACCCAGCACCTACCCCCTAACCCCAGAGTTACACCTAGCCCTGACCCTAACCCTAACCCCAGAGTTACACCCAGCACCTAACCCCCTAACCCTGAGACTAACCCCAGAGTTACACCAAACACCTAACCCTAACCCTAACCCCAGAGTTACACCTGACCCCTAACCCTGAGACTAACCCCCAGAGTTACACCTAGCCCTAGCCCTGAGACTAACCCCAGAGTTACACCAAACACTTAACCCTGACCCTATCCCTAACCCTGAGACTAACCCCGAGTTACACCTAACCCCTAACCCTAACCCCAGAGTTACACCCAGCACCTAACCCCTAACCCTGAGACTAACCCCAGAGTTACACCAAACACCTAACCCTGACCCTAACCCCTAACCCCAGAGTTACACCCAGCACCTAACCCTGACCCTAACCCTAACCCTGAGCCTAATCCCCAGAGTTACACCCAACACCTAACCCTGACCCTTACACCCCTAACCCTGAAGACTAACCCCAGAGTTACACCAAACACCTGACCCTGACCCTAACCCTAACCCTAACCCCTAACCTAGACCAAACACTAACCCAACACTCACCCCAGGGTTAGACCAAACACTATCCCCACTGTATGTTTTCAGCATGACATCCAGAAGCATGCAGCGCTTGGAGGTGTTCATGGAGCCTTTTGACTTATTATTCTTGTGTTTTTGTGGGCAGGTCACTAATTGCTTGTTGTGGCACCTGTTTCAGTGGGAGACATGACAGCAGAGAGAGCTACAGAAAGAGAGGTTTACTGATCCAAACGAAATGGAAGGGAAGGGGGCAAGTTTCAGTGTCGCCTGGCAACAGGGACTGTATTGAGATGTTGACCATAACAACAAGCCATCCACCATCACCTACAAAGTGCCTTGCTGTGAACAAGTACACCAGCTCCAAGAAGAAAGTTCAACAGAGCTTCTACTTACATAAAACGGTCCTTTTCAGGACCACCCAAATAGAACAAAAGAATACTTGAAACGTTGATGACTGACTGAATGAATGAATGAATGACTGAATGAGTGGGTGGGTGTTAATAATAATAACACTAACCCCTGACCCTAACCCCTGACCCTAACCCCTGACCCTGACCCTGACCCTAACCCTAACCCTAACCCTAACCCTAACCCTAACCCTAACCCTTGAGAGGTGTTTGCAGCCATCACTGTCGGTATTGGCCACATCGGGGTGATTTTTTAGACTGGCGCTTCCATCAGGTTCTCTGCAAAGGGACATAACTCCAGTTTACTGTTGACATTGGAAACATGATTGTGCGTGAGTGGAAGACATGGCACCGAGAGAGGTGGCGAGAGAGGTTTTACCGATCCAAACGAAATGGTAGGTGTATGCTTTCAGTATCGCATCGAAACAGGGACTGCGTTGAGATGTTGGCTTTGCTTTGTGAACCGTATCTTCGAGAGAATCGCCGCTGCAGCATCCCGTCACGACCAGAACAAGAAGCCCCTACAAAGTGCCGTGCTGTGAACAAGTACACCAGCTCCCCAGCGGAAGACAGTTCACCAGAGCTTGTACTTACGTACACACACATACATACATACAACGGTCCTTTTCAGGACCACCCAAATTGAACGAAAGAATACTTGAAACGTTCATGAATTCACGAATGAATGGATGAGTGAGCGAGAGTGAGTGTGTGTGTGTGTGTTCATAACAAATTCATTGTAATAAGATGGGCAATGGACCTGAACACACAGTCGGATGTATATTAAAATGGTACTTGCAACCAGTATGGGGAGTAAGTACTATGTGCGAACAATGGGCAGTGTGATGCGTCAGTGCATGGGTATTTGTTTCTCTGGCCACCCTTCCCCACTCGGATAAGGCGGCACGAGTTGCTCCCCTTGAACCGTAGCATTTCCCCACTGGCCCCGTGCCTGGCTCGCTTTGAAAGAGCACAGAAGTTGTCTATGTTGATGCTCCACGAAGGTCGTACGATTAGGGGCTACCAGCAACGCCGTTTTGCACATCCCTGCAGATGCCATCAGACAATAACATATCTACATATCAATCCGATACACCCATGGGCTCCGGACGACACGGCGTTTTCCAGCATACTACCCCCCGCCCGCGCGGCATTTGGCTTCAAATAGCGCAGACATGGTCCATGCACATACGCATGATCGACGGAGGTCGTACGATTAAGGGGTGCACGGCTACGCCGTTTTGCACATCCCTGCAGATGCCATCAGACAATAACATATCTAAATAGCCATCCGATACACCCATAGGCTCGGACGACACGGCGTTTGCAATCCACTACTACTGTCGCCCGGGAACTGCGGATTTGCTTTCAAGTCAGCGCAGAAACATCCCCCACGTACAGGCTCGACGGAGGTGCTCTGTTATGGACGCGCACCGGCCATGCTTCCGGTATACGACTTCACCTGCCATCCAACAACATCATATCCAAATATCAATCGGATACACATTACATGCCTCCGGACGATACAGAGATTTTAGTGATGCCACTGCAGCATGAACAGTGCATGAAGCGCCGTACAATCACACAGCGACAAGCATGCACGAGTGCTTCCCTTTGACCGTAGATTTGGATTTTGCGGGCTGATGTTATAGCGTTCAGTACCACCACTCTACGTTCTTTGCAGATGGGATTCGTGGCAGTAGCATTACTAGGGGAGAGGGAGAGGAGAGGCAAAGGCAAGGCTAGGCTAGGCTTGCGATCATGGCATTTGTAATCGTAAAATGGCTGAATGAAAGTAAGCCTGGCAGAATGACTGACTGACGGACTGACTGACATGTGGCCGAACTGTGTATTTCACTATGCTTTACCTGATTATGTAACTAGCGCTACACACACCAAACACCTACACACGCCCCTCAGGGGCCCCAGTTACAGAAACTTTCATTTTAGTCATAACTGGCCATGAACTAATAAATGCTGCCTTTTGTTCACTTTGCCTTCATAGCAGGCGTTTTCACTTTATTTTTTCAATCTCATGTTTGTCAACGTTTCCATTCGATGTTAAGGTCACTGAACGTCAGTTCATGTACATAATGTTAAGGTTTATCCCCGTTTACATAGTTCTTAATCACATAGGTAGCTCCCACCAACTCTGAAGCCGGCGAAGTGCCCACGATGAGAGTGGTTTGCCCAGCTCTCCCTCACGCTCAGCCAAAACCGGATCAGAAATCCACGGCAGCGAGCGAGCGATTGTCTTCTCAGACGTCCGCGCCAGCCACCGCCGATCGCGGATTTCGATCCCTTTGCTGGGAGACGGCATACAAAACTGTTTTTCAAGCAAATCGTGACTTCAGTGTCTATCACATCACATTGCCTTATTTCTGTATATATATTCTGTCACATTTGCCTGTATGGTGCACTATCTTCTGGTGATACGCTTTAAGGAAACATTGTAGTAAATACATGTGGAGTGTACACCTAGTGCAACTGCTGGTACTATTGTTACCTACTAGGTTGGTAGAACCCAAATGGGGTGCCTGGGCTGAACAAGCACAGATGTGCATAAACAAATAAGTAGGTATGCAGGGAACAATAGCCATAGATATAGACAAGTGGCATGAAATAACAAAGTGGTGGTGCAGATCGATGCTCATGCTGTCGATCACTGGACTGTCTGGTCCAGACCGCCACCCTATGGCTGGAATATTGCTGAGTGCGGCGTCAAAGCCTTAAACTCACTCCACTCACACCTATTCTATTACAGGTACATGTTACATGTGTGTGTCGATGAATCACACATACAGGCATGACATTTATTTGCTGGTAGGTGTTATGGTATAGTGGAGGCGCCTTTCCAGCATCGTCAAAACAGACATGGTCGCTCTGCGAAATTTCGAGCACATTCAGACTGAAAGCCGCCGCCGGTGATATATATATCAGGCGCGCGGACCTCTGAAGACAACCAAGCATTACACTGGCTGTTTTACGCTTTAGACGTAAATACATGGTTTGGCGGGCATTACGTTGACAAGTGAGCAGTTATGACCATTTCTAATGGCACATCAGTTTCAGGGTGTTTGGCTCTAAGAATAGTGAGTTAGGACAAGAAATCACCTCACTGTCATGCCTCGGCAGAGTGTTCAGACAACCCTAGGCTGTGCAAACTCGCTAACACAGACAGGACGGGATAGGACCGGATAAGAGCGAACATAAACACAGCCAATCAGGCAGCGGATGGGAGAGCGACCGTTGGGGATCTTGAGGGAAATGGCCGACCGCGGAGAGCAACGGTTTTCACAGGCGGATTTTCTGGCCATTTCTTCCCTATTTAAGGTAATGTTTTCATGTCGTATTTAACACAGGCCTTTATTGGATGCTCCGTTGTATATATAAGATGTTATAGGATCCATTACTTCAGTGTAGATGCTATTAATGCATAAATAGGCGCAGGTACATGCGTTGGTTTCGCACCCATGTTAGACTCGCTGTGCCAACTTCCGGTTTGGTCGTAAAGCTTGACCGATAAGTGTGTACTATATATACAGAAACAAGCACAGGTACATAGTACATAGATAATAAGGACAGATTCAACTACACAGGGTAGCCACAGGGCCTAAGTCAGTTTTACATTATCCATTATTTATTTATTTCTAGACGCTATGTACACATAAGTGGGCATAGGTACATAGATAAGAATGACAGGTTCAACTACATCGGGTAGCCATAGGGCTTAAGTCAGTAGGACATTATCCATTACTTCTCTGTAGATGCTACATATACATAGAAAGTAGGCATAAATTACATAATGCATAGCTGATGACTATGGACTGTATCTGGTAGGCATAGGGTCTAAGTGCATATTACATCACCCATTATTCCCCATCATTTCTGCAGATGCTACAGATACATGGGTAGACATGTATATAATAGGTTTGGTTTTCAGGATGATCGTCCGGAGGAAATAAAGACTCTCTCTCTCTCTCATGGTGTTGTTGTTTTGTGTTGTATGTGCCATAGGGCTTGTGCAGGTTGGACTGCATCTGGTAACATGCTTAGCTACAGGGTTTACTTTCACCATTGAATATGCTACCTATGTATTGTGTATTGCACCTAGTTTGGATATAACTTGTAGTGGTATCAGTTGGTGCTGTTATGAAGTTCATAGTTCATAGCAGTTGTGAAAAGAAAGGGTATAAAATTCAACTATAAACAATCATTCAAACATCTACTAAGAAAACATGTTTCACTTCATGTTTCAATGTTCGTTTGAAGATAGTTTCAGATCTGACCTATTACCTATATCAACTCTTGAATAGGACAACTCATGTATACTTCCATTCATTGTACTGAGCCTGTCCTCAATGTTTGTTTACATAGGTGTCATGATGTACAAGTAGGGTGGGCCAGTAAACTGAACTAATTGGCACTTTGTCCCTGTTTCTTAGGCGTCCTATATACTAAAATCATCTTGTATATACCAAAAGCCATGAAATAAACTCATGTCTTAAATATAACATTAAAACAATGCCTAAAATAGGACCAAATTGCAAGTGAAAAGCTGCTCATAGCTTCGGGCAGCCATTTGCAATTGACAAAGGGAGGTAATTCCGCCAATTTCCTCTGCACTTTGTAGAGAAATAAAGGCAGAAAAAGAGAGTTGTCTGCCCCTGATCGTGAACATGTTCATGTCGCATATCAGCTGGTACCCTAACCCTAACCCTAACCCTAACCCTAACCCTGACCCCTGACCCTAACCCTAACCCTAGCCTAACCCTAACCCTAGCCTAACCCCTGACCCTGACCCTAACCCTAACCCTAGCCCTAACCCTAAGCCTGACCCTAGCCCTAACCCTAGCCTAACCCTAACCCTGACCTAACCCTAGCCTACCCTAGCCTAACCTAGCCCTAGCCTACCGGCCCTAGCCCTAGCCCTAACCCCTAACCCTAGCCTAGCCCCCCTAACCCTAGCCTAGCCCTAGCCCTAGCCCTAAGCCTAACCCTAGCCCTAAGCCTAGC